GTGCGTACAGAGGAAAAAGACCGCAAAAAAAAAAAAAAAAAAAACACAAGTTATAATGGTACACATTCATAAACTGGACTTTCTAAGAATTAAAACATATAATTTATACAATTTATACAAATCTAGGCATGAATGAACTTCTTGTCATATGTTGAGTGTAAAAAAACAATCCCTAAAAATCACAAATAACACAACATTTATAAAGTATTCTTCAAGCTACAAAATTATAGCAATGGAAAATAATTCAGTGATTGTCAGCAGTTAGGAACAGGTACAGAGGAGGAGGGCAGTGAGGTTGGTATAAAGGGGTAGGTAAACAGACTTTTATGGCAATGGAGTTTTCCTGCAATTTGACTGTGATGTCTGTCCACACCAATCAATGTGAACATGCAATAAAATCGCATAGGACTGAATACGCAAACAAATTACCTCATGCAAAACTGGTGAAATTCATATTACAATTCTGGTGTATTATACAAACCCAGTTTTATAGTTGTGATATCATACTATAGTTATTCAAGATGATACCACTGGGAAAATTGGATAAATATTATTTCATTATTTCAAAAATGAAAATGTTTTCAAATATATTTATTTTACATTTATTCACTAAACATCATTACAGCATACAAAATGCAATTTCCCATCCAGAATACACTGTATAGTTGCTTAATAAAACATGCTATCATCATCAAATATTTATCCATTTCTTGTTTCTCATATATATATTTTTCCCCTATTTCTCACCCTTTTCTATTTTCCATCCTCCTCCCATCCTGTCTCTGGTATCTGCAGTTGTTCTCTGTTCATTCTTCCCACCACATTTTATTGATTCACACAATATCTTAATTAATCTAACTACTTTCAATAGCAAATTCAGCTGATATCTACATATCTGTGAGCACACCAGGTGTAGTAGTTAATAACTGTCTCACATGTGTAAGTAAAATAATATATCTTAACCTCATTTCTAACTCATGGCTTTTATTTGAACACTAAATGAAAAAAGCTTATATGATAGCGATAAAGTCACGGTGTCATCATGGCTTTGGAAATGTTCCAGTTTTAGCAGAACAGAATTTGCCAAAGTATTTTCCATTGTTATTTAATTGCTAATTCAGTATGAGTACCTTTAATCGTTCAAGTCTCCAAGGAATCAAATACATCATCTATGTTTGTTTCTTTCTTTAAGCTGTCTCTACATATTGTCACTGGAGAATATGTAGGGTGTCCCAGATAATTAGTTGGCAAATCAAGGTAACTTTTTGTCTCTCAGGTGATTCTGGCATAACCATCTGAATGAATTGCATGCTACTTCCTTGGGGAACATCACAAAGAAGGAGGAAAACTATAAATTTTTTTCTATTCAAACAAAAAATAAGAATTATTGAACATAAGAAAACTTGATTTTTCATTAAAGGTGAGTGGGTAAGAATTGACATTCCGTTTGATAATAATCTGACTTTGATGAGTCATGGGTTTGACTATAGACATGCTTGTGGTGACACTATGATACCTGATTACTTCAAATGAAATATTCAGTACATCCTTTGTTAACTAGGATTCCTGATGTGGTGTTTTAGCACATTAAATATTACTAATTGAACAGATCTCCTTGATCTGTGTGATTTGCAGGAATTGGTAATGGCATTGAGATGTTGGAAGTGAAAAGTTAGAACGTCTCAAAAAGTCAGTAGGGATCCCATATATTAGAATTTGTTAGGATTAGAATTTGTAGAAAAAAATTCAGGATGCTTAGGGATGATTGGCCTTCAAATAAACAACAAATAGATTTTAGTTATAGGACCTATAAAATATTTGAGAACAAATAAATACTATTTTAGTATAAATATACCCAATATGATACTATAAAATAATATTTTAATATTAGTATTAGACAAGTAATGTTTTATAAACTTTGATTAATTTTTATATTAATTTGTATTGCAAAAATTTGCAAAGTTTTTAGCTGTTTTTCTACAGAGTTTCTTATTATTGTGACTTTTTTTGTAACAGACATTACTAACTGATTAAATAACCTTAAAAACAAATAAAAATGACTTTTCAGAATTATGGTATTATCAGGACCCATATGTGGTATAGTGGTTAAGGTGCTAGACTCCCACTGGCCTACTGCAGTTCTAGTCTTGGACCTAGAGGCTTGCTTTCTCACTCCTCTCCTACATATCTCCCTTTGTTGCCCCCATAGCAAGTTAAAAATAATAATAAAAAATAAAATGAAGAAACCCCTGTCTTCTGGACAGGGAGAGAGACTTAATAAACACTAGACTAAACTTTTCCAAACATTAGAGACCTCAAAGTGCTGACCGGGTACTAGAATTCTAAAGTCCTGTGTTCAATTGAGCCCATTTCCCAGTCTCCAATAAAACTCTATAATAAAAGACTCTGAAACACTGCCTGTGAATTAATTTTTTCAGAAGTGGGTAGGCTTAATGTTTTCTTATTTGTGGGAGAAGAATGAACCAGAAAAGGAGAGTGAAACTCAACAGAGACACAAAAGACAGCTCATCTAAGAAAAGGGAATGGATATGACTTACCGGGCATCAGTATTGCCCCCTTACCTGACCCTATTCTTTGGATCAGAAGGGAAAATCAACTGCATTTGTTATTTTCTATCTTTTGGATAATATCTAGCCTAGTGAGGTGAGATAATATCCCACTGTGGTTTTAATTTATATTTCCCTGGTGGTCAGTGAGGTTGAGTCTTATTTAATACACCTGTTGGATACTTACATAGTTTTTGCATAAATGCCTATTTATGCCTTTTCATTTTTTTTAGAGAGATTTTTGCTATAGGACCTGTGTGCTCACTGGAGAGACAGAGAGAGACAGAAAACAATAAATCACCCCCCAGGGAAGATGGCCACACCGCAATTCCTACCCCTGTGTTCTCCTCTTGGGACTTTGGGCATGCATACACATCACCCAGCGTGAGTTTCAAGCCACCACCGGGTCTGGGACTTGAATCGTGATGGACTACATGGGAGTCCAGCGACATAACCATTTTGCCATCTGCTGGTCCATTTTTGTTCATTTTTAATCAGATTTTTAAAACTTTGTTATTAAGTTCTATATAAATTTTGGATGCTAATCCCTTGTCAGATGTACAATTTGCAATTTTTTTCTTTTGGTGGTGCTATATTGAATTAGTTCCCCAAATTTCATGTGTCAGAAACCTAAGTAAAGATATTAAGAAGGTAGAAACTTATCCAAATATGTTATTAATAATTAGGGTTAAGGCCAGCAGGTGGCATAGTAGTTAAGGCCCTGGATTCCCAATGGCTAAAAGTGATAGGAGTCCCTGACCCAGATGCTTGAAATCTGAGCCAGATGCTTGAAAGTTGAACCAGGCGCATGTGGGTGAGTGCCCCAAATTCCAGGAGGAAAATGAAGGAAAAAGGATTGCGGCATGGCCGTGCGCCTCCAGGGGGCGATGTCTCACTTTCCCTGTCTCTAGAAAGTACAAGCACCCTGTGGCAAAAAAAAAAAGGTAGGGCTTTTGAGAAGACATGAAAACATTAAAATTAGATAGGATCATCAGAGTAGGGCCATAATTGAATTATGGTGGATTTTTAAGTAGACAGGGAGAGATCAGAGCCCAGTTGCTGACACAGACACAATAGCATGAGCATACACACGCTTGTCCTGCCACCATGTGATACTCTATGCCACCTGGAGATTCTTCAGAGTCCCCTCCATAAGAAGACCCTCTCCAGATATGGCACTTAAACTGGATCTCCAATACTGTGAGTTAAATAAATTTCTATTTTTTAAAATTATTCCATCTGTGATATTTTGTTATTAGCAACAGGAAAACAAACTAAAACATGTAAATTGTCCCTTCACTCTATTAATCACTTCGTTTGCATTCAGAACTTTTTTATTTTATAAAATCCCACTTGTTTATTTTTGCTTTTGTTGCTTTTGCTATTGATCATTATTCAATGGATACATGTATCAAAATTGTATTAATTATATTGTACTCCATAAATAGTTACAATTATTATGTGTCAATTTTTAAAAAATGGCAAAATTGACAAATACAAAGTATAACATATTCTGCGACCAGTAGATGGTGAAATGGTTACATCTGTGGACTCTCATGTAGTCACCTGGTGTTCGAGTCTCAGACCTGGCAGCTTTAGATCCACACTGGATATGTGTGCATGTGTGCTCAAGATCCCAAGGGGAGAATGGAGGAGAAGGGACTGTGGCATGGCCATCCTCCCTGGGGGGGGGGGGGTTGATTTCTTGCTTTCTATCTCTCTGTCTCTCCACTGAGTGCACATGCCCCATAGCAATAATCTCTCTCTTTAAATAATAATAATAATAATTAATAATAATAACATATTCTTCTGATTGCTGTCTACTGTTACAATGTGGCTTCTTGAATCTAGCTTTAAACTGTTGGTTTGGATCTTGTGGTGAGTCCTTAAAAGTATCTCCTTCAGAATTATCTGGCTAAAGCCATCATTACATTCCATTAAAATAATTCTACTCTACATCTTATCTGACTTAATATTTTGAACTCCAATGAATTCTCTAATTGAAAATCATACTTAGAGAATAACTGTTCTCCACTGAGTTTAGGTAATCTTAATGTGATAGGAAGGGAATTCAGGTAATGGATTATACTAAAGCAGTTTCACTATCTTCAGTCAGAGCAGTTCCACTCTGTTTAACTGATGTTCTGTGTAAATTTGTTAAAGAAAAAGGCTATATTTATCACCAATATTTATATCAGTGTTATATTCTATAAATGCTCCTTTATATAATACCAGAAATAAATGACAGTAGGACATTATGTAATAAATTCTAAAGTAAACATTTAAATTTCTTATCTTTGTTATTATCTCCATTGTGTTATAATAGAGAGAATAAAGCATATAATAATAATCAAAATCTCTCAATATTAATGTAAGACCTGTTTTAGCAGGGAATTGATCCAGATCTTGCGTGTCTTAAAGATTATCCTAAAAGGATTTTCTTAAATAAATAACTAAACAAGTAAATAAAACAAGACACATAAGCTGAGACATAAGGTTATAGTTAAGAATGAAAGAAGACTATTATAATTTCAACTCATGGCTGCCAAAATCCTAAACTCTATAAGCGTTTTTTGTTTATGAAATTTCAGACACAATTAGATGTACTATGTAGAACTGTTCTTAGAAGACTTTTGTAAAGCAGACTATATACTGCTGTCTGAAAATAAATGTCATTAATGTTGAACTATATAAATATAGTCACTGAACATAAAATAAAGTATTATTATCTCAATACACCCTTAGCTGGAATCTACAGATCCTTGTAGACCCACCAGTGCACACCTATATTAGCTGAACTGTGATGAGTAGAAGTTGTAACAGAAACAGAAAGTAGACTTAATTGTGTTTAAAAGGTTGGTGGGAGGATCAATGGCAATGATTAAGATGGATGGATCCCACATGGCTCACTGCCTGATTGGAATTCCAGATTGATGACTTGAAGGGCATGATGGGCAAGTACGCATGTGTGCCCCAAATCCCAAGAAGAGTATGGAGGACAGGGGATTGTGGCATGACCATCCTTACTGGGGGTGCTTTCTCACTCCTCTGCACATTGTCTCTGGAGAATGCATGTGCCCTATATAAAATTAAAAATATATGTGTTATGTTTGCAAATTGTATAATAAAAAAATTGCAAGTGCATTAAGCTTGAAAGTGCAAAGAGGCAACCCTAAAACTTAAAATTCATTAGATTTATGTTATTTCTTCACTCTGTAAGATTATCAAAATTTGAGAAGAAAGCTCAGAAAAAACAAGTGTACTAACAAAAGCTGTGATACATTTGTGTAGAAAAAGTCTAATATTTTTATACTAATTACTATAACTTTTTATTATTAGTGACTATGGCCAAGCATTACAGACAGTATTGAGTTTAATGCATGTCTTACCAGTGTATGTGTTTCATATGGATTCCTCCTTTATGGAAGTGGCCTATTCTATTTTTTATTTTAATTTCAAAATCAGATAGGGGAATTATTTTTTATATTATGAGAAAGATATTTATTCTGTTAGAATTACTATAAATTGTTCAGAAGACTTAAAAGGAAAGTTTGTAACCGAGCCCCTGTTCCTTTCTAGAAGTGGTAACTGGACTAAATGGGTCAAAAGAATCTCACAGTTTTGACTGAATTCATTCTGCTGGGAGTCACAAGGCAACCTGAGCTGCAGCTTCCCCTTTTTGGGATATTCCTCATCATCTACATAATCACAGTGGTGGGCAACTTGGGCATGATCTGTCTGATCCAGGTAGACTCCCGTTTATACACACCTATGTATTTTTTTATCAAACACCTGGCTTTCATTGATCTTGGGAATTCTACTGTCATTTGTCCCAAGATGCTGGTCAATTTTCTCGTGGACCAAAATACCATTTCCTATCATGCATGTGCCGTACAGCTGGCTTTCTTTCTTACGTTCATTATTAGTGAGTTTTTCATCTTGTCAGCCATGGCTTATGACCGCTACGTGGCCATCTGTAACCCTCTGCTGTACAATGTTGTCATGTCTCAGAGACTTTGTTATGTGATGGTGGGCATTCCTTACCTCTACAGTACCTTTCTGGCTCTTGTGTTTACCATTAAGATTTTTACTTTGACCTTCTGTGGCTCTAATGTCATCAGCCACTTCTACTGTGATGATGTTCCCTTGTTACCTATGCTCTGCTCAAATGCCCGGGAAATAGAGTTGCTAATTATACTATTTTCAGCATTTAATTTGATTTCCTCCCTCTTAGTAGTCTTGGTATCTTACATGCTCATTCTGGTAGCCATATTTCAAATGCATTCTGCAGAAGGCAGGAAAAAGTCTTTTTCCACCTGTGGTTCTCATCTCACAGCAGTTGTTATATTCTATGGGTCTCTCTTCTTTATGTATTTGCAGCCCAAATCCACTCACTCCTATGATACTGATAAAATGGCCTCTGTGTTTTACACTTTAGTGATCCCCATGCTTAACCCCTTGATCTATAGCTTAAGAAACAAGGAGGTAAAAAATGCCTTCCATAGAGTATTTAAGAATTTATCTAAGTTTTGTATTTAATATTGAATTTGGGATATTGTTGCAAAGCAATGATAAAGGCAAATGTTGTGTAGTACCATTTCTTTATTTTGATATGTATCGAAGGTGTATAACATGATTTTAATGTACACACACATACACACACACACACACTGGAATAATTAATACATTCAAGAAAATTAAGATGTCCATCATCTCGTATAAATATTTCTATTCCCTTCACCCTGAAGCCTATTCTCTTAACTAACTTCTAATATATAAAAAACAATATTATTAACTATAGTCCTCATGCTGTGCATTGAATCTCTAGGGTCTCCACTATATCTTAATCTGGCTTTTTACAACTGGCTAACATCCTCCCATTTCTCCTTCCTCAGCCTGCCATTGATAACCATTATACTACTCTCATTTTGAACACATTCAGTTTTAGTTTTGAAAATATTCCCTGTAGCTGGAATTGTGCCGTATTTTTATTTCTATACCTATATTATGTATGTTACTTGGCGTAATGTTCTCTAGATTCATCCATGCTATAACAAATGGTGTTATATACTTCTGTAGGGCTGAAATATAGTTCATCAGATATAATTACAAACTTCAAATAGCTCATGAAAATACATATTACTATTTTTCCTTTTTCCTTTTTTAAAATTTAATTCAAGAGAGAACTGTACATTTTTCCCTCTGTCAAATGGTTCCTCTCTTTGCATCTTACATATTATATATATATTATAAAAAAACTATTATGAGTTTCAAAAATTTTTTGTACAAATATAATCTTGTATTTTAAGATTATTTGTATTTTAAGCCTATTTTGTCATGAAATTTTTGAAGTACCCTCACAAGAACACATGCACATACACTATAATTTCTTCATTTATTCTTTGTTGATAGACATTTTGGTTGTTTCTATAGTTTGGCTATGTTACAATGCTGCAATGAACATGAGAATAAATATATATTTATGAGGTGGTGATTTTATTATTTTTGTGTATGTACTCTATAGGAGAATTGCTGGAACATATAGTAGTTCTATTTCCAATTTCTTCAGTATCATCTGTACTCTTTTCCACAATGGTTGCACCAATAAATATTTTCACTAACCATACAGAAGGGTTTTCTTTTGTTTACATCCTCACCAACCAACACATCTCTTGACTTTTGATAGCTTTGTATCCTACTGATGGATTTCATATGATCCTAATGTTGCTACAGTTTGAATGTCTTCTCAAAAATATGTATAGAATTTGGGACCAGCAGATGGCATAATGGCTACATTGCTGGACTCCCATGTAGTTGAACAAGTTTGAGTCCCAGACCCAGTGAATTAAACCTATGCTGGGTGTACATGTGTGCATGTCCAAGATCCCATGAGGAGAGTGAGAAAAAAGGATTGCATCATGGTTATCCCCACTGAGGGGGAGGGTGATATCTCACTTTCTGTCTCTCTCTCTCTTTCTGGCAAGTGCATGCATCCTATAGCAAAAATCTATCCCCCAAAAATGGTATATAGAATTTAATGGCCATTGTGATCGTATTATGAGGTGTTTAAATCATAAGGCTTCACTCATGTAAATGGAGTAATGCCTACATAGTGGGAGTGAATTTGTTCATGTGCGAGTGGGCATTCATTTTCACTCTGTCCAATCCATGCTTGCCCAATTTCATACCTCTTCAATTGCCACATAAAGCCATCTACCATAGGATGACATTTGCCAGATGACAGCACCATGCTCTTGGACCTTTCAGGCTCTGGAACAATGGGTTTGTAGATACACATTCTTAATAAATTAACCAGTCTGTATAAAGCAGTATAAAATTGATTAAGATAGATGTATTGTCACTTTCGATTTGCTAGTATTTCATTGACAATTTTTGCATGTATATAAATATCTTTGTCTAATTTTATTAGAGTGATGCTGGTCTCACAAAATAAATTTTCTTATACTTTCAAAGATTGAATGAATTTAAGAATAATAGCTATTAATTTTTTTTTTGTAAGTTTGGTAGAATTCAATTGTAAAACCTCTAGTTCTGGCCCTTTTCTATTGGGAGATTTTTCTTTTTTCTCTTCTTTTATTTTTATTATCATCATAATCTTCTTTATATTATTACACTGGATTACATATAACTTTACAGTGTATTACATTGCTTTTTCAAAAGGGAATGCCATGCATGTCAGTCAATACAGAGACATTAATTTCCCTGCTTCAACATTCGATATCTTTTCTATGTTTTTCCCAATCATTATTATTATTATTCTAGTTATTTTTTAAAACAGTCAATCACTATTTCTCATTTTGCTTGTAAAAAGACTTTGCACATCATGAAATACTTCTCAGAGCAATCCAGTTATTGGGAGATTTTTATAATTACCATTTTGTTATCTGCATTTGTTATTGGGCTGTTGAGGCTTATATTTCTTCATGAACGTTTTTAGGAATTTATTCATATTGTCTTGATGTCCAATTTATCAACAAGTAGAGATTCATAATACATAATAATGTTATTTGTCAGGCATCCCTTTTTGATGTCTACATTTTCTGATTTTATTTACTTGAGCATTCTTTTTTCTTGATTCAGTTAAAGGTCTATAGATTTTTTTTATTTCAAAAGAAAAACTGGCAATTTTATTGAATTTTCTATTTTTTTAATACATAATACTGTATATATTGTCATACACCAAAAGTAAAGAGTAAACATTCTAAATGAAACAAGACAAAATACATTCTAGAAGCTGGGAAATTCAAGAGTATGGCATAGACAGTGGTCAGGCTGACGACATAATAACAGGGTTGAGGATAACACAGTGCCCAAGTAAAAGTGGACTTATTTATAATAATGAGATCTCATGAAAACCTAGTCATTCCTTAACCTAGTAACAGGAAATAGCTTAATCCATTCATGAGGGTGGAGCTCTTATGACCTAGTCACTCCTTAGTCCACCCTGCCTATTAATAATAAATACTGCAATGGCAGTTAGGTTTCAATATAAGTTTTGGCAAGGACATTTAAATCACAGCATTAACCACCAGAACCAGATAAAAAGCCAAGAAATAAACTTATTACTGGCATTCAGTTGTGTGCAGGATGCATGCACTGAAAAGGCTGAGTAACTCACACACCAATTACGGAAAGGAATCAAAAATGCACCAATAGGAGCAATAGGAGTACAGCTCTGTAAACAACCAGAACTATAGTTACAATTTTTAATTTGCATAAAAATGGGCCAATGGATGGCAAAAGAAGGATCTAGTCCTCTATAAAGAAATTTAGCTTTATTATCCCGGGGAGGCTGAATTGAAAAAATGAGTTGTAACTTTTTCTGCCTCCTTGTCGGTTAAAAGGATAACTTGCAATAAAACTCTTTCTTGCTTCAAGATTCTGTGGTACGGTGATTGGAACCTCAAGAACATGGTGTAACAGAATCCCTGACCTTTTCCCCCATCACCAAGCAATAACTCCAGCACAAAATTAGCAAATTTTAATACACAATATTGCAGAAAACAGAGAAACCAAGCACAATTGAGTGGGAAAACTCAGATTTATTACGTTGGTGGACCCAGAGGAGTTTGTACTCTATAAAGTCTGGGTCTTGATTTGAGGAAGTTACAGGAGTTATATAGTCAGGGTTCACAGGTATTATATACAAAGAAAACTAGAAAAGCTATAAAACAGTTTTGTTACCTTTCTCAGTTCCTTCAGAGAGTGCAATTTATTGAAGCAGGTCATTTACACAAGTGGAACAGGTGTCAGTACTTTCTGTTTGCAGGCAGCTTTTAAAAGAAGAATTAGGGGGCTGGGAGGTAGTGTAGTAGTTTAGGGTGTTGGACTCCCACATGGCTGACTGTGGTTTGAGTCCTAAACCTGGTGGCTTATTTTCTCACTTTTCCGCTCTCTCTCTCTTTCTCACTCTGTTACTCTCTGGTCAAAAAAATAAATAAATAAAGTTAAATAAAATAATTATTTTTTATAAAAAGAAGTAGAGTTAGATAGCAAACAGGATCCATATCATTTCCCATTTTGATGCCCTTAGTTTTCCTAAGAGCATCATAACATGGCCTTACAGTCTTAGCCCAAACTGTCATTCCTTTTCCTTTCCAATCAGATAGGGCAGTAGCAGTCTAGCCTATAGTAAAGACTAAAAGTACCTGCAGCAAAGTTATGGTTAAAGGATTGTTACAACTTATCTGGGGAGGTTAAGAACAGTTCATGTGTTGTCTCTAACAAGTGCATCCTCAGTTTTTCTGCTACCTGTATATCAGTCAGCTTCCAGAGCGACTGATGCAGGGCCATAGATTCCTCAGGCTCCTTCTGTGTGTAAACTAGAACAGGGCAGTAGATTCTGTGTTTCTGAGGCATCATCCTGAGGGGCTTCTCCTCATCTATTTTTATGAGGCATGGCCCAAATGGGTCTATGGAGGGCAACCCTCTCGAAAGGACTTTAACAAGTAACCTGTACAACCATGTGAGGCCCCACACAGGTCAGCTAGAATTATTAGTATAACTCAAAAACTGTAGAAGTAAATAAAATCAAACACTATTGAACATTTTGTTCCAAGTATTGCACTTATTTTTAAGCAGAATTAATCCTTCTACAAAGTTCTTCTTAATCCAAGTCAACACCATCTCTCACTTAGTTTATTTATTGTTACTTTAGGTCACTTCCTACCCATTTATCTCTCCAACTACCAGTGAGGCCTTTTGAATACAAAACAACATACTCTTTGCTTAAACATTTTTGAATAATCTTCCACTGAATTCATACATTCTGATCTATCCCTGTCTCTTGGCATCCAGTTCATGCACTCAACTTTCCCTAACCTTGAGAGACAGTAGACAGTGTAGTTTCCATTTGATCCCCAAGGTCTTAGCCACTGCCTGGGTAATTCTGGAGATAAAAGTAGACCTACTGTCTAATTCTATGGTCAGAGTCAGTGGTAGTCCATACAGAAGGATAGTCTCCTTGGACAAATAGTCACCCATCTGGTAGCTGCCATCAGTCATCATCCTCCTTCTTC